AGTTGGGTTGGCTAAACTTCTGTTTGAGAAGCAATAACATTTCTCTAAATTCCCTTCTTTACTCTATGGTGCTGGGACCCTGCCCTTCCTCATCTGGGAGGAAGACGGCAAGTTTACTCTCTAAAGAGGATGAAACTAGGATTCCGGGAATGACCAACACCAGCACAATTGAGGGTAGAGAACCACAATCACAGAGGAGAATTAAATTAATGTCTACATGTTGAATGTTGTGACCCCCAGAATGCTGACAGCCAGAACTACAACCTCCAGGAAGGAAACAGGAAAACCTGTTTCATTGAAAACCTGATAAGCTCAAGAGGAAAGATCCAAAGATGAGATACCAGGAGTTCCTCAGTAAAAGGCCTAGCCAGATCACCCTAAGGGAAGTTCAAAATCAATATGTTCTACCCACAAGCTCAGAACTTCCCTATTCTTAAATAACTCTATATTAATATTCTCAGAGAGATAAGACATTGCACCCATAAGATAAGAGTAGGATATATTTTTTTAATTCATAGGAAATACTTCTTGGAATTAACAAATGTGAAGGCAGTATTAAAAATGCAATAAGAAACCGAAAGATAAAGATGAAGAAATCTCCTAGAAAATAAAGAAAGGAAAAAGATGGAAAACAGAAAAGGAAAATTAGAGCACGATTCAAGAAGTTCAACTTTCAAATAAAATTATTTCTAGAATGAGAGAACAAAAATAACAGGGGCAAGAAAAAATAAATAATTCTAAAAAAATCTCAACAATGAAGGACATAGTTTCTAGACTGAAAGGGCTCAATTAATGCCCAGCATAATGAATGAAAATATACCTAAATCAAGCACTATTATTGTAAAATTTCTTCCAGAAAGAAAAAACAGCTCAGGAATCTGAATGGCTTTGCATTTCCCCAAAGCAATCTTCAGAGGTAAAACTCAATGAGGAGTGCTTTCAAAATTCTGCAGAAAAACTAGTTGTAACCTAAAATTCTATACCTTGCCAAACTATCTACCAAGTGTTTGTATAAAATGAGGATATTTGCAGACATGCATGGTGCAAAAAACATTTACCTCTTATGTTCCCTTTAAACCAAGAAGGGGGAAGACAAGATCCATGACACAGGACATCCACAACTCGAAAGTACTGAGGAAAATGAATCAGTAGAATATCTGATGTCTGAATGTGTAAGAGGAGATTGAGACAACTGTCAGAGTCAACTGATGAATTAGTGATAATTATATACAAAACCAAGGTAATGTGGGGGTGGAGAGACAATTATTAATTCTAGGGAAAATTAGAAGTCATGCAGGAGAAGCAACACTATTATACTACATGGCTAAAGTGTGGTTAGTATTTAGGCTGTCATAGTAACGCAAACATTAATTCTGACCTAACCAAAATGTCAGTATAATTCTATTTGGAGGATGGTGGGGACAAGGGGGACAAAAAAGGCATGAATATATAATTGGGACACAGGGCTGAAAGAGAACTGAATTTTCATTTTCTATAGTAAGAGGTCGACAGAAAAGACCTAAAATTTTTGTCAAGAAGTGGCAACATATTCATGTTACTTAGAGATATGGATTGATGTCCAAGAGAATCAGCTAAGAGTCAAAAATGGTGCTCTGAGGAGACAGAAAAGGGAGTGGGGCAGTAGGGGACTCATGTTTTTCATAACAAGAACTATTTACAGAACTTACAGAACTATTTCAGCCTTTAAACTATGTGCATGTTGTGATAAAGCTTAAAAGTTTTACTAAAAATGAAAACTAAATGCTTTTGCTCCTCTCCTCAAAAAATTAATAGATATAATATTGCACATGACTTTTGGGATCTTCATGAGTCAGGTTAGGGACCATGACCTAGCTAGGCTCCCAGGAGTATGAAGATTCTATGGCTCCATTCCAGCACCATTTCCACCCTGACTGCCCCTCCTCTCTGCACCATCTTAGTGGAGAATGTAAATATTAGAAATGGAGTTTTCCAAACAGAGTGAATATAGCCCTAAGGAAGTATCCCTTATTGTGCCCAAAGTTGTCATATGATAAAGCAGGGACCCAGCTTTTTTGGACTAACACACATTCCAGGTGTGTAAGTAGATCTCCACAATTGAAACCTGTGAATTCGTTCTGCACTCTGTGCTGCAGATGGAATGGACAGCACAACAGGAAGTTGTCTAAATTAAGGATCATTTTAGCCACAGAGGCAGATGCTGCCTGAACCCCCAAATATACCATATAAGATCTGAGTTCCACAGCTTAGATTATTGTGGAAACTGAATGGACTGAGTCAGTGTTTGTATAGACACCTCTTCCCATTGGCCACTGCATTATGGCCTTCTCTTTTTATCTAAACTTGCTGCTAGCTGACCCAGGTAGGAAACTACCATTTGGTCCTAAAGTGAGCCTTTTTCTTCCTTGCATGACACTGGTACTCCTTATGAGCAATCTTTAAAATGAACCATAGGCTATAGCTTTTAATAAAAAGTCATTTGGGGACTCCCCTGGTGGTCCAGTGGGTAAGACTCCACGCTCCCAATGCAGGGGACCCGGGTTCGATCCCTGGTCAGGGAGCTGGATCCCGCATGCGTGCCACAGCTGGGAGTCCACATGCCGCAACTTAAGAAGATCCCGCGTGCTGCAACGAAGACCTGGCACAGCCTAAATTAATTAATTAATTAATTTTTAAAAAGTCATTTGAAGCTGTATCATATGTGATGCTAACAGGTTTAGAGCCCAAATGACAGTGTCTATAAACATTTCAGCTTCCAAATCAGCATAATTTATTTTGCTGGAAATCATCACAGGAAGGCCTTTGTGTTTTGTTTTTGTTTTTTAATCTACTTACAAATCTACTTCTATATTAACAAAACTTAAAAACTCCTCCTTAAGTCTCTGGTTTGGGGGAGAAGGGAACAGTAACAACACACCTTAGAATTTAACAAGCAGCAATACGTGCCACAGAACCAGGCTTTGCTTTTTCCCGGCTGTAAGCATGGCCATGGACAAGAGTCTGGGATTACTAGAGGGAGTTCAGTGGGATCTGTTCCCATAGTGAGTGCTATCTGGTTGCCCTCTTCTGCCTTCACCTGGCTTCCTGGCCCTACTGGCCTGAGATTTGCTTTCGGGGTTTGGGGGTGTAGCTCTATGACCAAGGCCAGTCATGGCTCAGCAGGTATGTGGTAAGTGTCTGTGGGTGACTACCCCGTAGAAATTCTCAGGGCTACAGAGTCTTCTCGGCGTACTTTCAAGTTCATTCCTAATATATACAGCATAAGCTGCCCAACAGCCCTAAACCTTACAGCCATGCAGGATTGGGGAAAGTTGCAAAGAACTGTGAGTCCGAGATGTGAATGTGTCAGTACTCCTGTGACAAAATTATTAACTCTAAGATGCTCCTCTGCTAAATGCTGTGCCTTCCAGTGCTTGTATACGCTGTTCATAAAGAAGAACGTTCCTAAACTGATTCACAGATGTTCATATATCCTCAGAGCCTTACACTTAAGAGACTTATTTCCTTTCTCTCACGTGAAATATACACTTGACCCTTGAAAAACGCGGAGGTTAATCTGCATGTAACTTATAGTCAGCCCTCCGCATCTGCAGTTCCTCTGCATCCGTGGATTCAACCAACTGCGGACCGTGTAGTGCTGTAGTATTTATTATTGAAAACTATCCGCGTATAAGTGAACCCTCACAGTCCAAACCTGTGCTGTCTAAGGGTAACTGGCTTCACTCAAAGGATGCTGATGAGGAATCTGTGGACTCAAAGCCTACTATTAAACTCCTAAACTTTTGTTTTGGACTGTGTGACTTTCCCATGCTAGGCACCATAGGGTTCATTCCTCTCCTTCTGCCATAATTTAAAGTCAGTCAGTCAGAGAATGCAGTATTTGAAGGGAAGATTCTGATGAAGATTAAGATATGACTTCTCAAAACGCCCTTCCGTGCTTCTCTTCCCTATAAAGCAGTCATCGTTTCAGCCTGGCTAGTTGGATGGCCCAAGGTAAGGCCAAAGATCGTGGCATGTGTTGGTTCAATGGAGAATTAATGAAATTCTAAACAGAAAGTCTGTGCCTGTCTCACCTGAATGATCAATCCAGCAGCTTACCTAGCTTCACAGTGTAAACAAGCATCCAAGAACAGACAATACCAACTAGCTTCCTAGACACGCCTCAAAATGCATGTCTTTCCTTTCCATATTTGCAAGGAACCTAAGAAAGAAGCAGTAGAAGGGCAGTCCATTTGCTCCCTCCCCTTGCACGACAGACTCTCCGAGCCTGGCCTGCATTCTGTCTTGGAGTCAGAACAGGTTCTCTGTTCAGGCCAGAATGTTTCAACCTTGGGACTGGGGGTAAGGGGCAGGAAGAAAGGCACATGAGAATTTTTAGGGGTGGAAGAGCATAACTTGAAAACAAACTGCTTTGTTTCACCATTTTTATCTGTTTACAATTCATGAAAATATATTTTGAAAATTTCAATAATTTCCAAGCAAGACATGAGAATTCTATGTTTATCAAAAAAGACATGGTATGGATTTAAAAAAGGTCAAGAAATTCTGGTTTATGCCATTGATTAGGACCTCTGGTGGACAGTGCTCAGCACCTTGGCTTCCTTTTTTACTTCCTGCCCATTTATATGTTTATTCTGAAGTTTTTAGCTTTGGGGGAATGTTTTATGTTTCCAGTTTGTCTGCATTATCTTTCTTTAATTAAATGCTAACCACAAAATAGCTTTATTAGCAGCTAGACTTCAGCAACATCTCAAATGTAATTAACATAAATAGTTTAAACATTCCTTTTCTAAAAGGAATTTAGAGATTTGCTTAAAGCAAATTATATTTTTGCAAAACCCAATTCATGCCAATACGTAAATGTGAAAATGGTGGGAATGAACTTTCTCTCTCTTTCATTCATTATTTCATCCATTCATCCATGCAATGAAACACTGAGTGTCTATAGTGTGCCAGGCACATGGAATGTGCACCAACTGATATGCAACAGTCACACTAACCTGTGTGAGAATAGATGTACCATAAGGCCCCTGTCAGCAGTGCTCCAATCACAAATGCTGCGAACGCAATGCCCATCACGGTTAGGGTGTCCAGACCATGGAATATCGCTATAATGAAGAGAAACCAATGCATACTTTGAGTGACTCTGCATCACATGCTGCAATTTTATACTGTTTCACAAGTACTGTCAGAAAGGCTGAGCACCAGCTAATAAAATCTGAGGATGAAAAGCAGATTCCAACAAAATACACTGTATGTGTAACTTGCAAATATCTTCTCAAGAGAAAAATGAAATTTTCAGATTTCCAAGATACCCTCAGTTTGCAATTTATTTTGAGCAACAAACTTACTAAAAAAATCAGATTTGTCAACTCTGTAAAACCTTAGGTCTATGGTTCATTGTCTCAATGTGAGGACCTACTATTTGAATGGTAAAGTGGCTTGAAAAGTCAAAGGTTAAGATGCTTGGGAAAATGAGGTGAACTTCTATCAAAATCTGACTCATGGCTTCTTATTCACTGAACACTGAGACACTACACAAAAAACAACAAGACACTACATAAAAAACACACTCCAAACACTTTACAAACATACCTTCATGAACATTTAAAAGTATGAAAGATAACAGGAAGAAAGGTGGTGAGGAGAAAACATACAATAAGGATAAACTATTCCTATGGATTATAAAATTTCACTGACCTCCTCACATTAAACCCTCCATCTCAACAATTACCTATTGTGTCATTTAACACTTTTCCAACCATGATCTTTCTATGAGGTGAACGGAAATACTCCTCAATGGGGAGTGATGTCAATTTTATGGTCAGCAAAGCATATAAATAGAACCAATTGTTCCTCCATTTGGCAAAAATTTTTATATTTGAAATTAACTCTAGGCCACAGAAATAGAACATTTCCTTTCATTTAAGAGAACTACCTTCTTTGAATCACTTATAAAAAGTAAAAATCAGTTTCCAAGGGAGAGAGGTTTTTGGTGGAATAAAATTTCTGAAGTCTCTCTCTTTTTTTTTTTTTTACTATAAATTGAAGGTACAGGATCTCCCCATTATTTCAATACTGTTTCTATGCTCCTCTCCAGTCAGAAGTGACTCCAGCTGATCTCTATGTAAATTCAACAACTTCAGGGTAGAAGATACAGGTGTAGACAAAGGTGACCCTTGAGCAGCCCCAGCACTTGAAAGGGCTCAGAAAAAGTATAATGTGGTAGAGAAGATTCTGAAGGATCCAAATTCCCAAGTCCTAGTCCCTACTCTTCTAGCCATGTGCCCTATGATGTTCATTTAACTTCTAGAAAATGGGACAGCACTACCTCACCTGCTGAAGGCAGTGGGTAAACAAAAGGAGTTTGCAAAGGGGCTGGGGATCCCCTAGGAGGAGTAAGAAGTGGGAAGAACGCTGTGGAGATTAAGACGAACCAAGCCGCCATCAACCTAATTTAGTCTGTAGGACAGATATTGAAAGATAACTTGTCTTGGGCTTCCCTGGTGGCGCAGTGGTTGAGAGTCTACCTGCCGATGCAGGGGACATGGGTTTGTGCCCCGGTCCGGGAGGATCCCATGTGCTGCGGAGCGGCTGGGCCTGTGAGCCATGGCTGCTGAGCCTGCACGCCCGGAGCCTGTGCTCCTCAATGGGAGAGGCCACAACAGTGAGAGGCCCGCGTACCGCAAAAAAAAAAAAAAAAAGATGACTTGTCTTTTCATGCCTACAGATGCAAAAGTGGGGCATGAGTAAAAGTTTTTAATGAAAATATTCTAAAATTCTAAAGATGGAGGTGTCATTTATGAGAATCAGACTAGGTGAGTACCAGAGAAGGTGTCCATATGCATCTCTTTCTGGGTTCATGATACTATTCCATGACATTGTTAAAATAATACACTTAATAGAATGGTTTATAAAGTACTTAGCATAAAGGAACTCTCCAGACTGATTTTTACGTGTATGTGATGGGGTCAGCCATGGAGACTAACCTGGAAAGTCTTAAAGAGGAAAAAAGTATAGACTCTCCTCACAAGGCAACATTATCTAGAAGAGCTCTGGGTGCACACCCAGAAAGCCCAGGCTCTTGTCCTGCCTCAGTGACAATTATAACCATGGGGAAGTCACTTAAATACTTCTGGGTCAGAGTTTTCTTCTGTATAAAGCAATGAAATTGGCCCAGATAATTTCCAACGCATCATTTTGCAGCAGTTGGTCTCTCTCCCTTTTTGTCTTACAAGCCTTCTCAACACCCCTTGGACTAGTGATTGTCTTAGTGGTATAGCAGCTAGTTCCTTTATCACTACTTCTCTGAGCAGGTAGATACTGTTGATGATACATAAAGCAAACCCCTCCCATAGCTGTATGTTAATGCTTTCAGATCACAATCGATACAAGTATGCAGACGATGAACTTCTCTAAAACTAAGAAAGTTACTACATTCGCATTAAGGTGATACGCACCAATGGGTTAACAAATTCATATTTTAAAATGGCAAAGGTAGAGAGGAAAAAAGAAAGGAGAATGAAGGAATGACAGGGGAAGGGAAAAAAGAAAGTTCGAGAAAAATGGGGTGAGGGAGAATGAGAGCAGAAGTCTTCTTATCAAAACTCAAAGTTTGGCAAATGTTCCATAACCAACTCATTCTTATAAAAGCCCAGGAGGCTTTATTTCGAAACAGTTGCATAAAGACTTACGTGGAGAAACTGGAATCGGTTTCTTAATGCTTGGACCTGTTTCTGAAACAAAAACATAAATCACGATGCGTTCTACAGAGAAACCAAGTTCTAAGCGAAAGGTCATCGAAATCTCAGCAGAGGCTGACACTTTTCTATTTGTTAATAAATACTTCCTTTGTAAAAGCTCTGTCAATTATCCTCTTTAGATAATCAAGACTATAACATGGATTACTCATAAATTTTAAACACTGTACTTTGTTAATGATCAATTGTACAGTTTCTCCAATTTGAAGAAAAATTGAAGGCAAACACCTTCAAGGAATCTGAGTCTGATAATTCGTGTGTGTGTGTGTGTGTGTGTGTGTGTGTGTGTATACCTTTCTGTTTATTTAAAAAAGGATCCAATATCTTTAAATCCTGTGTTTCTCCAGTGTATTCAATATTTTTTTTTTTTTGGAGGTACATGGGCCTCTCACTGCTGTGGCCTCTCCCGTTGCGGAGCACAGGCTCCGGACGTGCAGGCTCAGCGGCCATGGCTCACGGGCCCAGCCACTCCGTTGTATGTGGGATCTTCCTGGACCAGGGCACGAACCCGTGTCCCCTGCATCGGCAGGCGGACTCTCAACCGCTGTGCCACCAGGGAAGCTCAGTGTATTCAATATTATTCGACTTTCAAAAAAGTCTTTTAATGTACACAAGTGTTGTAAAGGCATCTTCATTCTTCCATCCTAATACTATCGATCATCCTATAGTTCAGCTCCCCATCATGCATCTGCATTATTACAGAGCTTTTCTAACTGGTCTCCTTGTCACCACTACTGCTCCCACCCCAAATGTTTCTCCCCCTATATGTGCCCCCAGAGTGACTTTTCCAGAGCTCAGAGCTGATTATGCTATTGCCCTGATTAAAACACTCAATGACTTCCCTTCGCTTATGGAAAAAAAAATCCAAACTCTCTAGCACGGCACAGTGAGGTCTGCCTCCCTCTATCCACCTCTCTCCAGCCTCCTTTCCTCATGAGCTCCTCACCCGTGCTGGGCTCCTTGTAGTGAAGTTCCCCCAATTCTCCACCTGGCTCCATGTCATCACAAGTTGCAAGCCATCCCTTCAAGTACCCCCCCCCTCTCCCAGACCTGCTTTGCTGGCATTTTCACAGAGAGGCCTTATCTGATTCTCTCATAGTCCATGCCCACCCCAGCAGGGCAAGTCTCTCCCACCTCTGCTCATTCCCTCCCTCTTCTGTTATAAATGTGCCACATCACATCGGAATTCTCTCAATTTTTTTTACTCCCAGGGCAGAGTCTAGATCTTATTCATCTGTATATCCTCAGGGCCCAGCCTGGCATAGAACGGCCTTACCAGAAATGCTTGGTGGAGGATGGTTAGAATGTTGATGCACTTTTTGAAAATAAAGGCAATAGAGGAAATTTGGAGTAAGACTATAAGAAAATGCTTATATGCTCTGACATTTCTTTTTTTTTTTTTTTAACATCTTTATTGGGGTATAATTGCTTTACAATGGTGTGTTAGTTTCTGCTTTACAACAAAGTGAATCAGTTATACATATACATATGTTCCCATATCTCTTCCCTCTTCGTCTCCCTCCCTCCCACCCTCCCTATCCCACCCCTCCAGGCGGTCACAAAGCACCGAGCTGGTATCCCTGTGCCATGCGGCTGCTTCCCACTGGCTATCTACCTTACGTTTGTTAGTGTATATATGTCCATGTCTCTCTCTCGCCCTATCACACCTCACCCTTCCCGCTCCCCATATCCTCAAGTCTGTTCTCCAGTAGGTCTGTGGCTTTATTCCTGTTTTACCCCTAGGTTCTTCATAACATTTTTTTTTCTTAGATTCCATATATATGTGTTAGCATATGGTATTTGTCTTTCTCTTTCTGACTTACTTCACTCTGTATGACAGACTCTAGGTCTATCCACCTCATTACAAATAGCTCAATTTCGTTTCTTTTTATGGCTGAGTAATATTCCATTGTATATATGTGCCACATCTTCTTTATCCATTCATCCGACGATGGGCACTTAGGTTGTTTCCATCTCCGGGCTATTGTAAATAGAGCTGTAATGAACATTTTGGTATGCTCTGACATTTCTATACAACACCTTTGTGTTCAGAAAGTGCTAGACAGCCTAATCTCATTTGAGGTTTCAACCAGCCCCATAAGGGAGGCAGAAAAAGAATTCTTATCACTATTTTACCAATGAGCAGCCTGAGACTGTTATCATGTGACCAGCCCAAGGTCAGAGGTGGAAAGCATCAGGGTAGGGGCTGACCAAGGATTCCAGATTCTGCCCCGTAAGCTAAATGACTGGTGAGTGTTGCTCTGTCCTTAGTTGGGGAAGCACTGATTAAGAAGCTACTTGTGCATAGTGACATGCTATTCTCAACAGTGAGAATATTACAGACCAGGGGGTAGCATATAACAGCCAACCACTCTATTTTTGTTTAAGTGAACTAAAGATGAATTTTATATTTTTAAGTCATTGAAAAAAATGAAAATAATATTTTATGACGTGAAAATTATATGAAAGTCAAATCTCTTCCATAAATAAAGTTTTATTTGAACATAACAAGACTCATTCATTTATATATTGTCTACCGCTGCTTTCACGCTGCAACAGCAGTTAAATAGTCGAGGCAGGGACTCCATAAGCCACAACCTGAACCATTTGGCCCTTTATAGAAAAAATGTGTTAAGTCCTCACACAGACTCTGCCCCTGTTCTTGAGAGTTTAAAAGTGATGTGTTTAGGACCTCTCTTCATCTCCATTTTCATTCAATAAAGGAACACACACCTTGTGTTGGAATCCATAGGGAAGCAAAAAAAAAACAACGTGAAAAATTGACCAAAACAAGCAGCATTTGAGTTGATGTTTATAAAACTTAAAAAAGCTAGATAGGATTGTAAATTCTCAGGATTAACCATCTTAGCTGGTTGATCACATTCTTGCAGCATGGGGTATCATGGTCCAGCTCTAAGGGAAGGAATGCTATGGGATGAATCAAAGCCACTACAACTGAACGATGCCCCCTGGCGTTGTGCAGCATAGTGGCCCTGGGATCAGGATATATGCGAAAGTTATACTTAAATAGAACTACTAAGAAAATTAAAATAATTGTGTGTTTTTAAGAAAATCTATCTCAGTGTGCAGAACACACACCAACTACGCAATGCACATAAGAGACTGTCTCCTGGGAGTTTGGCTCCACCAGCCTTATTCGCAGCAATAAAGTAACAACAGTGATACCTTACATTTGTACATCTGTATAGTGTTCTACAATTGACAAAAAACCTTCACTTACATTTTCTCATTTTAAACGCTCAAGAGTCCTATGAAGCAGGGGTATCTAACCACAAAATTCTTCAAGAAGTAGTGGTTTGATACGCTGAACTAAGTCCAAAGGCATTTAAAGGTCTCTATAGCGTTCATCATGCGAGAAATATACACACTTCTGGGAAGAGTTCCATTCAATCAACCACCCATAGTTAAACTCTGTCACTCAAAATCCCCAAGAGGTTGCAAATAATGATTCTCCCCTAAGGAGACATCAGATGTGAGAATGTAGGTTTTATAGTAAGGCCTGTGTGACAGATGACATTGTTTTAAAATTCTTAATGGATTTACGTTATGACCTAATCTTCTTACCCCACCCCAAATAGGGGCCTCCTCAGAGAGCTAAGCAGAAACAGTTGTTGCTCATTTCCCCAGAGGCGAAGTTCCTCCATGCTTTCTGTGCATAAACAATAATAAGCACAAGCTGCAGATACAAGGTTAAAGGATTTTATCCTCTAACATTTTGGTTCCAAAATTCCCAATAACCCCTGAGTATAACTAAAATAGTTTGATCTCCACCGGAACCCTATGATCGATTTGGCATGCTGAAAGGAAGAGTGGACAGAACAATATTTACTTTTGGTTTAAGGGTACGATTGCAAGAAAGGAATCCTAGCTATTACTGTAAAGAGAATTTCAACAGTAAAGATTTCTTTACAGACAGAACAAACTATAATCAACATTCTGAATTAAATCTTTTCATATACTCTGAGAAAACTTTGGTCTGCCCCAGAAGCAAAATTTCCCTCCTCAGACTGTTAGGCATGGTTTTCATAAAAGGGATATTTCTGGGCTTATGCATGAGAAACTGACCACAGCTTCTGGCCTCAGCCTTTCAATTCAGTTCTCCTAAACATGGCAGGACCAGGCAGGCCCACAGGGAAATGAGGTGTCTAACAGGCACCCACATCTATTAGTATTTGGCACAGAAGGAAGGATGGGGAGACAAAGAAGCTTGTGCAGGCCACTGAAGATATACTTTTTACTAACTTTATTGCACTCTTAACAAATTAATTAATCTCTTCTCTAGGTTCTTTCAATATCACTGCAATTGTCTATTCACTTATCTGCATCCTTCTACTAGGTCAGTGGTTCTCAACTCGGGGTGATTTTTGCCTACTTGGCTCCTCAGGGGACATTTGGAAATGTCTAGACACATTTTGGGTTGTCACAACTGCTGGTGGATGGGTTTGCTAAGGACATCTAGTAGGTAGAGGCCAGGGATGCTCCTCAACATCCTACAGTTCACAGGATAACGCCCACAGCAAAGAGTTATCCAGCCCAAAACATCAGTAGTGCATTAGATTGTAAAGCCTTCATTCAAAGATAGGAAAATTTGTTTACTATATGCCAAGCATGTAGTCAGTCCTCAATAAACATTTCCATTATAAATAACCATAAATATCATATATATCTTATTATTGCATACATACCCTAGCAACTCAACTTCCATGCTGCTTTCAGAGTAGTCTTCCTAAATGATCTGACCATCGGTTCTTTACTTGAGATCTTTGATGGGTCTCAACTTTTAAAGGTGCATACTGGAATATTTGTGAATAAAATGAGATGTCTGGGTTTCCTTCAAAACAATCCAGGGACAGGAAGTGATAAAACAAAATTGGCTATGAATTGGTAATTGTTGAAACCAACTGAAGGGTTTATGGGAGTTCATTCTACTATTACCTCTGTTTCTGTTTATATTTGAACTTTTCTAAAGTAAAAAGTTTTCAAAATGTGAAGCACATTGAATGAAAAAAAACCCTATGATATCTCTTCCTTACTGGATAGAGACTGAATGTCTTGGTCTGTTAATTAAACATTCATACCATCTTTCTACTCAGCTTCCCCTCATCTCTACCTCAGCCTGAGGACAAAACCTGGCTGGTGCTTCAGACTATTTTTGTTCTGGAAATATCAAATGTGTTCCAAAAAGTAACGCCTCTCTTGGATTAATTTCCAACTGACCTTCACAACTTTCCCTTCCACTCCCCTCTAATCCCCCGCAAAAACCCTACTTTGGCTGAGATGTTAAGAGGAAGGAAAGGAAATTAACATTTACTGAGTGCCCATGATATGCCAGGTACTGCCCTGAGCACATTTTAATCTTTAAAAAGTTATATGTAAAATACATAGCTAGTGGGAAGCAGCCGCACAGCACAGGGAGGTCAGCTCGGTGCTTTGTGACCACCTAGACGGGTGGGATAGGGAGGGTGGGAGGGAGGGAGATGCAAGAGGGAAGAGATATGGGAACATACGTATATGTATAGCTGACTCACTTTGTTACAAAGCAGAAACTAACACACCATTGTAAAGCAATTATACTCCAACAAAGATGTTTAAAAAAAAAAAGTTATGTGGTAGAAATATGGAGAAAATTCAGTATTTTAAACACTTAACTTGCTAAGAATTATATATTGTATATAAATCATGGCAAATTTGGGGATGTTCTTTTGTGCCCCCAATTCTTTTTTATACATATGCCCTAAATTTCAGATGATTACTTTTCCCTTTCACCTTCAAAAAATAAAATCATTGCTGACGTGGTGTAATCATTTTCATTATGTAAGCCCAAGTGTTCTCAGATGCTGTAAAAAGTGGTCACAGCATCCAAAGCAAACAGCACTAACCTGCCTATACTTCAAAATATTTCAGAAAATATGGTAGGATGGCACCATCTCAACTATTTTAATTGTTTTGCCATAAACCATAATCTGCATAAACTATTCACGTTTCCTGGGCTTTTTTGTGAGTTACAATTCAAAGTTACAGAACTTGTCGTAAACTTTAATACTCTCTTAAACAGTTTACATGTTTCCCAACATCTTAACCCTTTGGGGGGAACAGACTTTTTTCCTTAAATTCTTTTTTTTTTCTTGAAAATGAAAAGATTCTATTTATTTGTATACGGTTATATGAGCATAGAGAAAGGAATGGAAAGATATACACAGGATACAAAAATTGTTAACTTTCATTAACCAGGTGTGGGTTAAGGACTAGTTATTACCTATTTTATTATACATTTAATATTGCATCAACTGTTAGAATTAATTTTATAATTAAAAATCAATAAAAATTAAAATGAAAACTTAAAATAAGTAATAAAATATACTGCTGGGGGGCTTCCCTGGTGGCGCAGTGGTTGAGAATCTGCCTGCCAATGCAGGGTACACGGGTTCGAGCCCTGGTCTGGGAAGATCCCACATGCCGCGGAGCAACTGGGCCCGTGAGCCACGACTACTGAGCCTGTGCGTCTGGAGCCTGTGCTCTGCAACAAGAGAGGCCGCGACAGTGAGAGTCCCGCGCACCGCGATGAAGAGTGGCCCCCACTTGCCACAACTAGAGAAAGCCCTTGCACAGAAACGAAGACCCAACACAGCCAAAAATAAATAAATAAATAAATTTTAAAATATACTGCTGGAAAACAGAAATTTTCTCAAATTATTGCATTTCTCCTCTTCCTTTAGACCCATTTCTTTTTTTAAAAATTTTTATTGAAGTATAGTTGCTTTACAATATTGTGCTAGTTTCTACTGTACAGCAAAGTGAATCAGCTATACGTATACATATATCCCCTCTTTTTTGGATTTCCTTCTCATTTAGGTGACTACAGAGCACTGAGTAGAGTTCTCTGTGCCATACAGTAGGTTCTCGTTAGTTATCCATTTTACACATAGTATCAATAGTGTAAATTCTTCAACTTCTTTTCATTTCATAATTATTGGAGTACTTGGGTGCTAACTTGCATACCAGTGTGACGCAGCGTGAACAGGGGAAGGGGCCAGGAAGAGGGGTATGAAGAGACAGATGCCTATGTTGCTTGCAGTTTTTATTAAAAACTAGAATCAACCTCCCCCTAGGACAAGGCATAGGGTTTAAGAGCACAGGCTCTGGAATCAAAGTTCCTTGATTTGAATCCCAGACCCACCATTTATTTATATGCCTTGGCCATCCTTGCTCTATACTATACTTGCCTCACAGAGGGGCTATGTGGATCATATACTATTATCCACATAAAGCATTTAGCACAGAGCCTTGTACTAAGTAAATGCTCAGTAAATGTTAGATCATCATTATCGTCATCTCCATCTCCATCACTGCCACTACCATCATCATCTATTATTGAAAATTTAAGAAGCAAAAGAATTCCAATCCAATGTTGGTTCCCAAGGGACTGAGATATCAAAGGTAGCAAAGATGTGCCGCAAGGTTTAGGAAAGTTCCATTAAAAACAGTGGCCCAGAGGAGGCACCCAGAATTATTTATTTAGTCTAGATGGCCTATTCTCCCTGTCCACAGAAGGAAGAAACACCACCTGAAATGTGTCCATGCTACTGGCAGTGGTAGCCACAGAGCAGCCCTGTGGCTGGCTGTGAAGTTGAAAACTTTTATCTACTGCCCCAGAAAACCCAAGTGTTGAGAAATAAGATGGACCAAATGGCCAGGGAGAGCTAGAACTTTGGCCCAGTCTCCAAAGAGCACCCACATAGTAAAAAGACAGTAAACCATCCCATTGGTTGGGAAATTTTTACCCCCAAAGTTATTCCCAACAAGAGATCTGCCCACTTCCAGAGATACTATAGTTATGTTATCTTACTACAGTAACACATTAGGCTGTCTGGCAGGAAGAACATTCATGATCCTGTTATTTTTCAAAGAGACCAATGTTATCGGGCAAATGGCCACACTCCCCTTATAAATGATTATTCCAATTCACTGAGAGGTAGAAGGAAAGCACAGACCCCAATGGCCTGCATTGAGGAGAAATGCTTCTAGAGTCAAAGGAAAATAAACATAAAAGGTGAGAGGAGTCACTCATAAAGCTAAAAACTGCCAGAAAACCTACCCCATTCAGTGTAAAGTTAGAAAGAGCATTTGCATACAGCCTCTGCTCTGGGAAGCCAGCCTACAGTCTAACCTTCTCAATTTGTTTAACAAACCGAAGCAATAAGCTTTCTTCACTGCATGCTTCTCCACTAAAATCTACTCTCAATTAGCAAATCTCATGAAATTGCTTTGATATTTGGTAAAACTTTACTCTTGAACTTTTACGTAAAGAAAACATTGACCTTTCAGGGTAATTACAAAGTTTAAATAAAAGAGGAATTACTTAGAAAAATACCACCAGAATTAAAAGAATGGATGAATGAATTACTGGAAGTTATATGGCTGCAGTACTGATGCCTAACTATTGTCTGGCACAGGAAAAAGCAAGCTGCTGCCTTCAATTACCAGCAGAATGACCTCTCTCAAAATAGGTAAGAGTAACAGATGGAGTAGAGGTAGCTGTTGCTGTTGTTAAACCACTTTCACAGCACAAAACAGAGCCAGCTGTCGCCCAATTGTCACATATACTTTGCAGCACAGTTAATTTATTCTTATTTCTTTCCCTTGGACCCAATAAACAAGGAACTATTTGGGCAATCCATTTAGAAAGACTGAGGCTGTTATAGCTGTTTCAAACTATTGAAAACCAACTAATAACCTAATAACGTAAAACAGACAGCAACAACAAAAACATTGATGAGGAACCAATAAACCAATAAATCTCACATGTACTTTTCACACCAACTTTAGGAGGGCTGGGAAATGAATGAAAAATGGTTTTGCTTCTTCAAACAGTACAGCTGAGTGTTACAGGTGAAAGGGCCTCTGGGGGTCATCTGGTTGAAACCCCTCTTTTTCCAGATAAAGAAAATGAAACCCCAGGACCTAAGGGGAGAGCTCCAAAGCGCCACAGCCAGCTAGCAGGGAAAGCCAAGAGCTGTGCATAAGATTCTAAAAACTACATTATAAAAATGCACTTGAACAGTTCTCAGCCTTCTTTCGGCTGTGACACCTAAGATGGATGGTGTTCACATACACAGTGCCCTCCCCAAAGGCATCTGCGGTCCTGAAAAAGTACTCTAATAGCTTGCGGCCAGCACAACCTTTACCAGTAGGTCATAGAAAAATGGGCTATGGGCTACCTGCAATTCCAGCAGGAACTCTAACCCTCTCCTATGCTTCCTCAAGGAAGCATATTTGCACGCAAGGGAGAGTGACATCGCGATGTGATGGAGGCAACCTAGACTTTGATCTAATATTTAAAGAGGAAATCATTGGGACTTCCCTGGCAGTACAGTGGTTAAGACCACACTTCCACTGCAGGGGGCACGGGTTCAATCCCTGGTTGGGTAACTAAGATCCCATGTGCCGTGCAGCATGGCCAAAAAGGGGAAAATAAATAAATAAATAAGGAAATCATTTGCAAATGTATCACTAACCGCATGCCAGCAGGAGAACCAACTAAATAAAATACTCCTTGGGCAAAGAATTCTATTCTAAAGTTACTAATTGGCTATTAATTTATCTTTTGAATACAAGTGGACTTTGATTTACAGTATTGCAGCTTCTTTATGAGCAGCCCTCAGGCCCCTCTTCTCTAACCGAGCCTCCTTGAAACGCACCTTTAAATTGTACTTCATGGTGGATCACAGCGAGGGGCTTGGTGAACGTCTTCTTATTCTGCATCATGGCCCAGATCATCGAGGCATCCAGCGAGGTGCAGGCTTCATCAGGAAGCACACACTGCAGAGAGGCAGAGCAAAGCAGAGTCGGGAGGTCACGCAAAAGGGCCTGCACAGCTGACCTGTGGTCCCTTATCAGACAGCTCACAGCTGTTTACCCCAGAAAAACAGGACATTGGGATGGTTTCAAAGAACCACAAATAAGCTGGGAGATGGGAGAGCAGGCCCAGTGTATTCTCAGCTGCACTTGAAGATGCAAACATGGCTGGACGGCTTCCCACAAAACAACTGGAGCTTTTAGTGTTATTTAGTCTGAAAAATAAAAAAACTACATGACGAATGTTGGCCCTTCACCAAGCTGGCTTCACATAAATGGTTCATGTTTGTGATTTGTGATTGTGGGAAACTTCATGTATTGCATTATGAGGGTGACAGATTTTACATTTGTTGTCCAAAAAGATAATCATGTTGTCGAGTACGTTTGGTTTTTTAACTCTGGTATAGGCTCATGCAAAATGAAGCTTTCCAGGGTCATCTGCTTTTAATGTTCCAAAATGAAGTCCTGGGGAGTTGTGCCCAGGTGTGGAGGCCATGAGATCAGCTGTTTCTAGTTATTTTAAGGCTCCAAACTTACAACCAGCATGCCCAAGCCTAGTGTATCTGTTTCCATTACCTTTTTCTTTAAAATAACTTTGGTTCCTTATCTATGCCCATCAGTGGGTAAAATGCTAATGTCAATGACATCCATTCCCTTTTGTTGGAAGAAGAAACATAGCAATTATTTTAGAAGTCTATATACAGCAAGGTACCCAGAAAAGTTAATTAGCTTCCAGTTCTTCCAATCACAAAAGAGCAAAGACTTGTAGCTTTACTATCATTGCTGCTCTAGGCAAGGTGAAAGTCAGATACACGTTATAAGAAGACAACTCCCCCCCTCTCCCCACCCCCCGAAACAAACAAACAAACAAACAAGAAAAGCCTTTACAATAGCCCTCTTGTAAAGGGAAACAATGGATTTTCTGTGGAGAGGAATCATTACTGAAAAGATTTGCATTTTAGGAAAAGCCTTCTTACTTTCCTACTAGTTCTTTGGTTAAGCAAGAGTCTATGATTCTACAACGAACTCACTGCAAGACCCTGGGCAAGACACTGAACTCTCTGGCCTCAATTTCATCAGCAATGGGCAGGGCTGGACTCACCGATCTTTGAGAACTCTTCCTAGAAGATTCTTTGGCTCTGTCTATTGTCATAGAAAGCACTCACAGGAATGTGGAAATATTAACCACAGGCAGCAAACAGAGGGACAGTGGTAACAGCTCTATAAATGGTCCTCTGTCATCGTATCTACCGTCTATCTACCGTCTCATTTGCTCCTCTACCCAGGAGGGAAGCCGGTACTATTACTTCAATGGTACAGATGAGGACACGCAGGTTCTGAGAGGTCAGGGACTTGCTAATGTCCTGTTGGTAAGCAGCAGGCCTTCCTTCTCGGTCCTCCACGCTCTTTCCATTCTATCTTGCCTTGGATATAAATAGCGACTTTAGGCTTAGGGTCACATCCCATGTCATCCCCTGTGACTTAGAACTCTCCTCTGAATGTTCTGGAAGGAAATATTAGGACTAATTTTCACAGATTAACACACTATGAAGCTGGGCTGCCACAGGCCAGGCTCACTGAAAGGTAACAGCCACACAGCCATCAGTAAAGACCCCTGGTAACTGCCAGGCCTCCCCTCCTAGATCCCTAATTCCTAAAAGTTATCATCTGGGTCCCAGCCATGCACGAAGCTCCGCATGGTTTTCTACCATGGTCCACTACACCCCAACCTTGATGGCCACTGGAAAGTGAAGGCCCACACAGCTAAGGCACCAATGTTTCCAAAGGCAACCCAAAGAACACAGCCTAAATCACCTTTTATATATATATATATATATATATATATATATATATATATATATACGTACTCCCTGAGGACTGTGAAACCAGATTTGCTGTATTTTCAAATATATTATAAAATTTCCTATGGTCTTATGGAGAAATGGAGGCCCAGGGGAATATAACAGTGCAAAGGATTCGTGTCAATGGTAATCCATCCAATAATAATAATTTTTCCTTCTCCCTCTACATCCGTCTCTTACAACCTATGTATCAGGTGAGAAAATTCCACCCATATGATACATTATTAATGATACGACTCGATTATTAGACTTTTAGACATTAATTGATATGTGATTATAAAAGGAAGAGAAGTCAGCTTACACTGTGTGAGATATCTAAAAAAATAAATGCACATATGAAATTATACATAATTATGGTAGATCAAAGAATCAAAACTAAGCAGAAAATACCCTTTGTGCACAAGGCCAAAATGATGAGGTAATTACCCTTGCTGATCCCCCCTACCTTGGCCATGCCAGCAAGGTCAAAGGGTTCTGATTTCTGTTGTGGCAATAGAATGTACTGGTTCAATGTGGGGAGTGACATGAGGCAAACATGACGAACCGATGAGAAACCAAGGAAAATTAAAATATTTGTTAGTTTCCCTTAGAAGTCCTCATGAGACAAGTCAACCTTATAACTCACACAGAGAAGGTCAAAAAACAACTGCAATACAAATCTCAGCGGGACCTGGAAAAATTAATCCTCACGCTGAACTTGTCCTTCGGCTCTCTGTACTCTTGGCACTGGATACTATCTGAATAGCAAAGATAAAGCCAGACCTCTCCTTCAGTGGAAAACAGTCTTGATTTATCATTTGTAAGATAGTACTGAGTAGCACGCATGGAAAAAAAAAAATCATACTGTCAGGATTTATTCTCTAAAACTCCATAAAACTCACAGTTCCCTGCTAACATGAACTTTATGGCTTCAACTGGGCAGTTCCCTAACCCAAAACCTCAACCTGCTGTAACTTGTGATTAAACTTCTCTGGTAGGTCACCGCCTCACGTAAAAATGTCAAAATAACAGTACAAATGGATGAAGGCCCACTAACCTTAGGTAACTTCTGGGGGTCCTTTTCCTTTTTGGTACACAATGTGAGCTCACACTGTAGAAAGAGCAGGGAGGTGTTGAAGATGGGCTTAAAAACAAAGCTGAATCGTTTCTTATCTATCTCGGCTTGCGGGATAGGAAAGTGCACTCTCTTGGGATTGTAGAATTTCACAGATTCATCTTTAGGACAAATGTTCTCAATGATAGTATAATCAGACATCCTATCAGGGTTCGAATATGGAGAGATAAAGCATGTCTGGATGGCAAATCCCAGTTCTTGGTCAGCCTTGGTGACGGACACCTACAACAGAACAGAAAGATCAATTCAGAAGCAAGTTAGCATGTCACTTTCACTCTAGGCACAAGCGGCCCTTCTGATGAGAGACATTGCTTTACTTTCGTAACCTATCCATATAGTCTTCCTTCTAATTACAAAAGTAACACACACTAATTGAAGAAACATATGTTTTCCTTTAAACTTGGTATAGATGATACAGTGAATTATTTAGTTCAAGTTCCAGCCTGGAAGAGTCTATAATACAAGATATATAAGTCTCTTCAACCTCCCATAAGTCCTCTGGGAAATAAAAACAAAAGTACATCATGCACCTAAGTGGATTTTCCCAAATAAATAAAACACCAGTAGGCAAAGCCCCTAATGTCATTAATAGTGTATCACCTGTAAGGCAAGCTCTTTTAAAAAATTACTCAGGGGCTTCCCTGGTGGTGCAGTGGTTGAGAGTCCGCCTGCCGATGCAGGGGACACGGGTTCCTGCCCCGGTCCGGGAAGATCCCACATGCCGCGGAGCGGCTGGGCCCGTGAGCCATGGCCGCTGAGCCTGCGCGTCCAGAGCCTGTGCTCCGCAACGGGAGAGGCCACAACAGTGAGAGGCCCGCGTGCCACAAAAAAAAAAAAAAAAAAAATTACTCAAAAAATAAATGACAGAGGTAGAATCTATTTAAACTAGGCACAGAAGACCAAACTTCTAAACTGCAGCAAGTGAGACTGAGCCTAAAACATTGCAGTAAAGCTATAGATTGGCCTGAAGTCCTGCTTCATGGTGAGCAGGCAGAGCTGGCCTCTGGGGCTGGAGGTCGGGGAGGGTGCAATCTGGTGGCGATCACGGGCCTGGCGAAGTGTCCCAGCTTCTCAGAGGTCCAAACCAGACCTTGCCAAGTACTCTCCCTTCACTCTTTAAGCCCAAGGGTGTTTTAAGGGAAATCTAATCTGGAAACGTTTCCGACTCATTTACACTTCCCTCTTACAAAACATGTGTATGGGCTATGTCCAAACCTTGTCAAGCTTCTTTTCTTTAGAAACAGGAAGTAGTATTTGGCCAAGAGTAAACAGAATTCAATTCTCATCTCAACTACCAATTCAAATCTCAACTATCCTGAACTCCGCTAAAATCCTCAAACCAGACTGGATCCTCCATTTGGTGACACACGCATCACTGTGTGAACTGCCTCTCCCCTCTATTGCCTCATTCCTTGACTAAACTCAGGATCAAAATAAACTTAAACACTTTAGAAATAAAGCTGGTCCTCAACCATAGGCCAATAGCCCCAGAATCCTTTCAAAGGCATGAAGATATAAACACACTTTCCATTCTGAAATACCCAGGGGAAATCCCTGACATTGCATGGGGCTTTTAGGCCACGGCACTATTTTGAAAGATCCCCGTGTGGTCAACTGCAAGACGCTAAACAATGAAGATGACTGTGATAATGACATTTTGTTGTGCCTTAAAGCTTAATCCCTGAGAATAGTCTTATGAGATAAATATTTTCATCTTCATTTTATAAATGGAGGAAAAACTGAACACACAGGATAGCTGACTTGTTCAAAATCATATCTAACAAACACTGGGTGAAACCAAGGCTTGAGCCCAGGTCTTCTGAGCCCCTCTATTTTCTCTTCACTATTTCACTACAGCTACAGGGTCAATTCAAGCCACCCATGACGTGGCCAGGGAGGGTGCTTGGTAAGAAGTCTTTCCAGGAATTAGTATTTGGTGGTCTTAAAATATTCACACTTCATTATTTTTACAGTATTTCCAAAAATGAGATATTTAATCTTGGGAAAACGGTAAATTACATATACTCTATTTTAAAAAGGGGCCTTTGGGCTTCCCCGGTGGCTCAGTGCTTGAGGGTCCGCCTGCCGATGCAGGGGACGCGGGTTCGTGCCCCGTTTCGGGAGGATCCCACGTGCCGCGGAGCGGCTGGGCCCGTGGGCCATGGCCGCTGGGCCTGCGCGTCCGGAGCCTGTGCTCCGCAAGTGGGAGGGGCCACAACAGTGAGAGGCCCGCATAACGCAAGGAAAAAAAAAAAAAAAAAAAGGGGGCCTTTAACATGAACTCAGAACCCACAATGCAAAAATGTGTGACAGAAGAAATGCAAACCTCTTCTCTAATCTCAAAGAAAGTATGCAATGGCAGAATGTCTAAGGTATTCCAAAAAGTTTTCGATGAGAGGAAAAAAATCGTCAACAAGTCTTTTCCTCTGAAATGGACCGGAAATGAGTAGTGGCAGGAATCTGCCGCTCACACGCTGTGAGCACTAAACCTTGGTTTCTCCACTGACTAGATACAGTGATTGTGACTATCCGTAAAGTCAAAATTACATGCACACAACACAGTTCCCTTCTAGTTAAGAAATGCCAGCTGTTATTAATAGTATTAGTCTAGATTTAAATTTGGGGGGTTATATATAGAAATATATTCTTTTAATTTCCCAAGACAAATGAACTAAAAGAAAAGCTGCCAACTATGTGACCAACTATCACCCAAGGATGACCAAAGACCAGGTGGCAAAGCTGATAATGTCTTGGATTAAAGGAAGAGACTAGGATCTAGAGGAAATAGAAGATTCTGGGAGGGGATGTGATAAGGATGACCACGAGAAGAAACATGGAAATAGTTCTTTAGACCAAGCCAATGATTGGGTAAGTTTTATTTACTTTCCCCAAATAAAAATTTTATTATTAGCAGTGGAGTCCAAACTGGGAAACAAGGACTAGGCATGGCTGCTATCTATTTAGCAAAATATTTACAGATTCTCTCTCATATTTCAGGTGGTTTAAAACAACTTTAAAATAAAGCAGTTTATACCAGTTTCCCCCTCTCCAGATTCTCTTCAATGTATTATTATGATGTATAATGATATTTTAAAATGGTATAGCAAAAAGATTTGGTTCACTTTTTTCCATCACTTGACCATGCCTTTGATTAAATTTAATTATGAACAATACAGATGATATATAAATGGGAAAATAAGAATGAAAAAGAAAATGAATTTCAAGCAAGCCAACACTGGGGGTGGCAGGGTGGGGAAGAAAACCCAAAACACCCAGGGTAGGATACACGAGGAAGATTTAAGGCAGCAACGCCACAGCCTGGCAAAGCCAGGCACACATCTGGAAAAGAACAAACTGCAGTGAAGCAGCACCCCTAAAGCCCATAGCATAACAGCGAACCACTGACCAACCACACATGTGGATTGTGCAGCCGGAAAAGCAAGAAGAAAACAACACATCTTGGATTAGGAGAGAGCTCTGACTAGGGATAGCATGTAGAAAGCAGTGTATTTTCCCCAGCAGAGAAAGAAGGTATACCCAAAGAAAGACAAGATCCCTCAGAACAGGGAATCAAAAAGGAGGAGACGATCCAGGACAATGTCTAGAGCCAATGGGCTCCGTCCCAGAATCAGTACAAATGTGAGTTATTTGTCTTTCTTAACTAGAAATATGTGCACTGAAGTCACTTTTAATATATGGAAGTATCCCATTTGGGCCCCTTAAGCTTCTCCCTCCTCCCACAGTGAAGAAGAACACCAGCTTGCAGCTCAGCACCAAAACCAACTCAACAGAGGATGACTTCCACGTAAGACCAGCAGACATTCTGGGGCCATGAGGATATTGATCTTCTCTGGAATCCAATCTGTGAACTTGGATATTTGCACTGCTAAGAGGTTACATTTTCTCCCCCTTCCAAATGGTACTTTGAGGATAAACAATAGCATCCAGTGGATAACAGTGTGGGCTCTGGAGCCAGATGGTCTGAGCATGAACTCTGACTCTGAACTCTAGTAGGTGCTAACTGTGTGACCTTAGACAAGTTTGTGCCTCAATTGCCTCACCTACAAAATGGGGATATTAATAGTCCTGTCTCACAGAATTGCTCTGAAGAGTAAAATACTACAATACTTATAACTGAGCTTGGCACAAAATAAATCTGCAATAAATGTTAGCTGTTGTTATTTCATTATTACCATCACTACCTAATATTTTTGTAGTCATTGCAAAGATTTATGTTATGTGTGGTTATTACTGTTATATATAGGAAATAGTTTTAATGAATTTATAGATACATTTAGGTGATGATCTAGAAAAAGCAATTTTCATGAGATACAGTAACACACAGTATTTCACTCAAAAGTATCCACAGTTTAAAAGATAGTCTCTGAGGTGGTTTGAAATATTCCTTGGTTAATTCTGATACTGCAGCTACTGAACAACTGTCCTCAGCAAAAATGCTAAGGACAAAGTAAGGAAAGGGCTTTATTAGAATTCACAGTGCTGATTTTTTGAAAACATTTACCCATTCATCTACAAATTACTCTCTCCGTTTAGAATGAACGTAGTGAATCCTGAAATTTCCTGCTTTGGTCAGAAATCAACGTGGGAGCGTTTTCTAAGCCACGCCCTCACGCAGAGCTGGTCAAAGCGGTGAGGAAGAGCAGGAAGACTTCTGCCCCTGCTGCTTTCACTCCTGCGCAGAAGCTACTACGAATCTGCGCTAACCTAACAGCCCAAGGCTAACATTTGGGTCTCACCTCAACAAAAACATGTCCGTTCTCTGCCACAGAGAATACCCCTTGGGAGGGCACCAGAAAGAGGTCAGTGTTGTACAGCTCCATGTTGAAGGTGACATTTCTGTTGGGTGGGTCCTGGAAGCTACTGGGATTCCCCACCTGCCGCAGGCTACAATTAAACTGGAAAAAAAACACACAGATGGAGATAAATCACAGTCAAATGAAGCTTGTAGCTTTATGAGCTTTAGCCTTTAACATCTGATTTTATTTTCCAATAGTCCCTGACTAAAGCTGACCAAAAAGACACCAGTCTCTACAAACTACCTACTACAAATAAACACATACCACCACAATTTCAGGTCGGCTAAAGAAGGAAATATCTCCTTCATCCGTATCTCCCGGAAATCCATTATCACCTGACTCCAAATCTTCATAACCATCTGGCCAGCCACTACTATCCCCAGGGGGTGGAACCTGTATTACAATCTAAAAGGCAAGGAAAGCACAATGTTATAAAAACACCAAATCACGTGCCTTTGGTTCTACCTCACACAAACACCCATGTAATAATTCAGAGGCACACTGAAAATCTGACTTAAAAAAAAAAAAACCAACTTCAAGTGTTTTTAGGACTTCATCCTCAAAGAGATGAAAAAACAAAGAAGCCCAATGCATGTTCAAATTAAGATTTACAGTAAAATACGTATTTTCCCCTGTGACAAAATATAAATTATTTCAAACAGTGGGAAAACACCACACACTGAAATGGGATTGGATGGGGTTGTCAATAGGCCCCCCTATACTGTGCGGGGTGGGAAGGGGGTCTCCTTAGGAACCTTTATATTGAAAACTCTAAGAAATACTGATTTGGTTAATCCAAGGAGTCCTGTAATTTGTATCTGTCAAGATTTGATCAAGTTTGGTTTGAGTTAGAAGCAAAGGACCTGATGTTTACTATTGAGCCATTCTCTCCTTACTTTTACTCCTGCACTCCTCCATCTCCCCAATATATCTTTTAAAAAAAAAAAATAAATTTATTTATTTATTTTTGGCTGCGTTGGGTCTTTGTTGCTGCATGCGGGCTTTCTCTAGTTGTGGCGAGCGAGGGCTCTATAGGCATGCGGGCTTCAGTAGTTGTGGCGCGTAGGCTCAGTAGTTGTGGCTCACGGGCTCTAGAGCGCAGGCTCAGTAGTTGTGGCGCACGGGCTTAGTTGTTCCGCGGCACGTGGTCTCTTCCCCGACCAGGGCTCGAACCCGTGTCCCTTGCATTGGCAGGCGGATTCTTAACCACTGTGCCACAGGGAAGTCCCCCAATATATCTTTTGTATGGTGTATATATGCAGGAAAGAACATCATGTTTTATGCCATGACAACCCATCTTAACACTGGTTGAAATGATTATTCCTAGGTTAGCTCCAGATAAGATGAAAAAATTCACCCAAGGACCAGGACTCCATAAATTAACTCCTAATTTCTTTGCATATATAGGATAGTTATACTTTTTGTTTGATTTTTCACTCCACGTCCTTAGATTTTTAGTATGTTGCAAAACAAAAATACATATGAAGTCTGAAAATTACTACAAACAATTATAACTGGAAGAAATAGTTAAAGTAGCCACTGAAGAGGTGAATGGGAAGAAAATGAAGGAAAACTGCTTCTCTATTCTGTACCAGGCCCTCAAAAGAAAGTACTGATACAACTGAAGCAAGTTAGGTTATGACTTACCCTATCATAATTAAAAAAAAAAAAAAAAAAAAGAAAGAATGAATATACCTTTCTCTCCTGAGGCAGATGGCACTTTTTTTTTACTTAACAGACTGATTACCATGGCCTCTTATTGGCATTAATTTAGATAAAAGTTTAAAATTCCAAAATCACGTATACCAGTAATATATGACATTCATTACATCTGGAAAAACTGGATAACTGCAAGAAAATTAGTGTTGGAATTGGCAGAAGAGGGTTCATCATAGAAGTCAAAGGTCAATAAATGATTTCAGTAACAAAGGGAGAGTAACTGCCACTACCTAGAGTTGGGGGAAGATTAGTGGACGAGAGGTCCGGAAGCTGGATTCAGTCCTGGCTCTACTGTTAACTAGTCTCTCAAATCCAAGCAAGTCTCTTAACTCCCTGGAGTTCCATTTCCTCACCTGTGAAATGAGGACGTTGAATGAGATCAGCTTAGGGCTCTTTCCAGCTCAAACATTCTAAGATTGTCTGAAGAACAATAACCTTGGCTCACAGGACAGTCAGTCTCCACATGAGCCACACTGACCAGAGACCCAGTCTCTTCTCTGGCTAGGTTGAGCCTATCTGTTGACTGGCAGTGGAATAAACAGAGCAGTCGGGGTCTCCCCATGCCAAGCCAAAGCTGGGGTAGGTGCTGAGTGCAGACACACACACCATGTCAAAGCTGGACACAGGGATCTTTGAGCCCTATTTCTACCATCAAAAGTACAACTCAAATTGCAAAATTATCACTTTAAAGTCCTTTTGAAATTTCATGTTCAAATTCTTTCAACATTCACTGTTAAGTGTCCATCTCTATAAGAAAAGATTTAGATGAATCTCTTCTGACAAGAATCATCTGGAAAGTGAAGGGTAGCTATTGCAATGGATTATCATTGGGGGAATCTGTGGAATCTCTCTCCGGGTAATTTCAAAAATAGAAGATTTTCTTCAATTTAGGGTCTTTCTTAGAGATGGAGAGAGATTTAACACTTTCTTGAATGACCTTTTCAGACTTCTCTCTTTTGGTTCTTTTGTTCATGAGGGAGGGAGAAGTTCTCCTACTTCTAGACAAGACTCAGATGAGGCCAGAGAGACCACGGCTCTGGTTAGCTCAGTTGTATAGAGGTGCTCACTCATAGCCCAAGGGCTTGGATTTTATCCTTATGTGGACCAGGCCATCCGAGCCTGCAGCTTAGCCAGAAAAAAGTCATAATCACCTTGCCAGTGAAACTCTGCCAAGAGGAGATGGAAGGAAGGGTGGGAAAGATCACCACAAATGCTCCAGCCGAGAAAACAGGGCCTCCCAACTCCCACAGACTCACCAACAAAACAAATAAAAGAGTTCAGGGTCATACTACATCCCATTTTGTTGAGAACTGACACTTGGCTTTGTTCAGACCCTCCTCACTTTCCTAGAAGTCTTAAGACTAATTTTAAGGTAACACCCAGCAAGGCTCTGGCAAAGGGAAAGCTTTGTACTGGAGAACACTCACGGAGTTGTAGTAAACCACACCATAAGGGACTGATCGCCGGTGCCGAGTCCCACAGCCATTCAGGGGAGACTCCAAAATGAAGTGGGTGCCATTCATCTTGGCCTTGCATGTGGGATCCAACAGGGTGAGCTCCATCCCAGAGTAGCCTCTGGCCTGAAACAACAACGACCGAAGACGTAAAGGGGGGCCCACCGGCCATTCTACAGCATGCAGTTAACACATTTTGCCTGGTCTTCCAAGTTGCAAGTCCAGGCCTTCCAAGTTGCTGGAGGCCTGCACTTCCCCTCCCCCCTTACCTCCTTTCAGCCTACCATCTCTCAACAGCCCCAGAATTGTGTTTGTTGGCCTTGGAAATTCAATAGCAAAATGTTGACACACAAGGATCTGGAACCCCCCTCACTGAGAACAACAGGAACCGGGTGAGAATCACAGCCAAGGGGAAGTGAGCCCATCCAACTGAGAAAACAGTATCAAATCTCTGGAGTTCAAAAGTGAAAGAGCTGGAAATAACTAACACAGACTGAGGCAAGATGGGAAGGGAGGGAGGTAGCCTTCCCTTCTCTCCTTTAAGAAACTGCACCCACCTGAAACGAATCTTTTTCTATAGCCACAGTCATCTTTTCATTGTCACATTTGACTGACAGGGCAACATCCATGCTCCCCTGCACCTCCTCGGCCTCTCTGGGACCAGGAAACAGTTGTATGCTGGGGATGACAGGGTCCTTTGGCCGAGGGATCCCATCTTCTCCCCCTTCCTTCCAGCCTCTCCTGGAGATATCGGGGAAGGGAAAGGGGAAACCTCCACTTTGGCCTCCCCTTCCCCGGATGCGAGGGTTGTCCAGGTCAGGCAGGGTGCCAGGGTCCAGCAGGATCCGTAGCTCAGGAGGGATGGTATGGACTTCCTCATCTCTCATCTCCTCTGCTGGTAAGAGAAGGCAAAACATCATCAGTGTTTGCCGCCAGGCCACAATCATATCATTAGAGGCAAGAACAGGAGAAATTAGCAAAGAATGGGCATGTGTAAAATTACTCTTAACAAGCAATTATAAAAGAGATGAGGAGTCTGGAAGCCTGAATTCTAGTGCTGATGTTCTTTCTAACTGGTTGAATGGCTTTGGGTAAGTGGCCTACCTCTCTGTGCCTCAGTTTCCCAATTTTTAAAATTAAGAGGTTGGATTAGATCAGTGGTTCTCAACTTTGGCTGCACATTAAAATCCCTGTGGGAGCTTAAATAAGAAAATCCCTAAGCTCAGGCTGCATCCCAGGCCAATTAAAAACTGAACTCTCTTTAAATCATTATGTTTTAAAGCTCCCCATGTGATTCCATTGTGGAGCCAAGATTAAGAACCACTGAATTAGATGATTTCTAAGGCCCTTCAAGCTATACAAATCTACTATTTGAATAAGTTATGTGGGACAATATTATTCCATTCAAATGCCAATGAAATACTTTCCTTGAATCTAGAGATTCTTTAGAAGAGTTTCTCTAAAAACTTCTTGAAACAGTATTGGTATTTTGAAATGATTTTGCTACCTCTTTTTTTTTTTTTTTTTTTTTTTTTGCGGTACGCGGGCCTCTCACCGCTGTGGCCTCTCCCGTTGCGGAGCACAGGCTCTGGATGCGCAGGCTCAGCGGCCGTGGCTCACGGGCCCAGCCGCTCCGCGGCATGTGGGATCCTCCCGGACCGGGGCACGAACCCGCGTCCCCTGCATCGGCAGGCGGACTCCCAACCACTGCGCCACCAGGGAAGCCCTGCTACCTCCTTTTTTGAGCGCTAAATTCTAACACGTATCTGGGTACCCTGGCCTTTTAGAACCTAGTCCCAAAGGAAGAAAGAAAAAGCTGCTTAGGCACAGTTATTCCTTCAAAGGGAGAGACATATTTCCATACAATCCATACTCATTATTCTGTCATATTTTCAACAATTTAAAGAAAAAAGTTTTTTCCCAGTATTCTCTACATCTACTATCCAAAGCCAACTGACGTATGCTTGAGGTCAATCCATCTCAGTGGGAGTTGGGAATAAGGATGACAGTGGATGTTGGCTCTCCTTAGATACTATTTTTTGAAAATGATGGCACAGTTGTATGGGTCCAAAAGAAGTCAGAGGTTTGGAGGTTTTTAATTTGTACTTTGATTAAAAAAAAACCTTCACAGTCACCCTTCGAGGTGGGCCTATTGTTTCCCTCATATGACTGAGAAGGAATCTGAGGCTCAGAGGTTAAGCAACTTCCAAACAGTGAACAAATGGCAGGGCTGGGACTTGAACCTGTACTCCTAACCTTCACTCTACCGGCACTGCACTCAGTAGTGGTACTGTGTGGTAAGCAAGAGGTCTGGGGATCAGAAAACCTGGGTTTCAAGTCTTACTATCGATCAGATTCTGGAGAACCTTAAGAACTTGTTAAGCCTCTGCTTTCTCCTCCATCAAAGTGGGATAATAACTCCTGCATTCCCTCTGGATGAGTATGAGAAAGCACGAGTACTCATGACTATTTTCCTATAAGATCCAGCCTGAACTAAGATTTCTCTCCTGCAGGCCCAACCCCTCTGTATCTCAGCCAAAAGTGATCATTAGGCACCTCTGAGAAAGGAACCCAGGATAATTTATCCTTAATATAAGCACAGCGAAAGTGATCTATAAGTTTTCCAACACGTAATCAACTCTGTTACAAAATATCTATATTAAAGATAATTTCCCCAAAATAATCTAGCACAATTCTATATAACTTTAAGCTTTATAGTGAAAAGTAGTGAATGAATCATTAAAAGTTGCAACAGAAAAACAGCACCCTATAAGCTGAAATGAGAGTTCCTCACTGGAAAATTCATTTGGGGGATAATTTTTATACAAAAAAAAAAAAATCATACTTACCACTGTTTTCAAGACGAAGATGAAATCTATTAGCCACAGGAGCCACTGTGTATGATGTTACTGGACTACAGCCATTGTCCAAAGCCCACTTGAACAGACTCTCTTGGGTTGAAGGAATGTCATCTCTTATTGATTTGGTCATTATCATGGATCTTTCACTTTCTTTCCCAAAGCCAATACTGTTAGGAGCCTGAAGATAATAGTAAAATTTCACTCACGAGTGTATGAAATTAAACAGTGCCTTAATATCTGAAACAAATAGATTCTCTATTGTGTATGAAAGAACTATTTACTCTTTTGATCCCTACTTTCCTTGGGCTGAGAATACTGATGTGAAAATCTGTTAACAGCAGATTAAGAAACTCATGCTGACTGGTTATACCATTTGGGTTGCTTATGTTGATACAAATGGCATAATCATTTTTGTCATTGGTTGATAAACTAATTATCATAAGCATACCTAGTATGTCACTACAGAGTTAATGTTTAAATTTTATTAGCACACACACCAAATATGATATCAAACTTTTCCTTATTTTTATTTAAAATTATATATAAAGTATACAGGTGTGCATGTTATATTTCTCCCAAATCCTATACCCTAGAGTTAAATGATAGAAGGCACAACTTAGTTACTTCACTGTGGAGACTATCCCACCTTTGTAAACTACTGAATTCCACACGGTCAAACAGTCAATGTTCATACTTCATTTATAATTTATGATCAATTTAGGAATCCTGTAACTGTATATATTTGCCAATTCTATTAACAGAATATGCTTAGATTCTATGGTTTAAAATATTAATTAAGTTACCATCTCTCTAAGTACCTATATATATATATATATATATATATATATATATATATACATATATATTTTAAACATCTTTATTGGAGTATAGTTGCTTCACAATGGTGTGTTAGTTTCTGCTTTATAACAAAGTGAATCAGCTATACATATACATGTATCCCCATATCTCCTCCCTCTTGTGTCTCCCTCCCACCCTCCCTATCCCACCCCTCTAGGTGGTCACAAAATACCAAGCTGATCTCCCTGTGCTATGCGACTGCTTCCCACTAGCTATCTATTTTACATTTGGTAGTGTATATATGTCCATGCCACTCTCTCACTTCATCCCAGCTTACCCTTCCCCCCACCCCGTGTCCTCAAGTCCATTCTCTACATCTGTGTCTTTATTCCTGTCCTGTCCCTAGGTTCTTCATAACCTTGTTTTTTTTAGATTCCATATATATGTGTTAACATATGGTATTTGTTTTTCTCTTTCTGACTTACTTCACTCTGTATGACAGACTCTAGGTCCATCCATCTCACTTCAAATAACTCAATTTCATTTCTTTTTATGGCTGAGTAATATTCCATTGTGTATAGTACCAATATTTTTATCCGGCAGTACAAGTAACTGTTAAAATTAACTTTCACTTGGTAATCAGTTACAAACTTAAAACTGAATGACAGAAATCTTTCCAGGAAAGGATATAAAAGGACTCTGAGTAACAAGGACATGGAAGGTAAATTTCACATCACCTTCTGATCCTACAGCAGTGATCTTCTCAGATGGTGAGGGAGCTGAATGCTGCAGGGGGCACCCCAAAGGGAAGTCACCACATTTTCAACAACTGCTCCAACAGGGCTGGAAGGCCCTTGCAGCAAGCAGATTATGCCATCTCATGCCATATAAAAATCACTTTAATTTCCATGCCCAATTATTTTCTTCTGCATACATGCAGCATTTTTCCTAAATTCCCCATTTGTTTCCCATTCTGTTTGCCCCTAACATGACTAAATATTAATCCTTTCCCACTGTAAAACCATAGAAGATTCACAGCCTCTAAGTTCTCTTGGCCTCTCTGGTTGTGAGATATTGGCTGAGGACACACATTTTCAATTCAAAGCTTAAAGGATCTCACCCAGTATATTTTTCTACTACCCAAAGTGCTTATCTGAGGAAAAACTGCCAGACTGGCCAGTCACAGTGATGCATGCAAGGGACCAGAGAGAGCTTTAACCAAGTTCTGTACCTATTTGCAAAAAAAACTCAGTTTCACAGGTTTGGATTATTCTATTCTTACTGGGATTCAGAGAAAACTCCTTCAGGGAAAATTCCTTAGGGAAAGGGAAAGAAGAAATGAAGGGAGAGAGGGAGAGAGGGAGGAAGGAAGGAAAGAAGGAAACTAAAATGAAGTAAAGAAGGATACAATTTGTTCTTAGAACTTCTTATTCACTGAGTCAATAGCATTTTCTTCAGCACAGCTTCCTCCAGCCTTTCAAGGTAGCCTGTTGTTTTGACTGGCTGGAGTTGCAACATTGGCCTAAACAATACTGCTTGGCCTCATCTGCACTAGTCTTTCATGTTGTTGGACAGCTGAGAAAATACTGTATTTCCAGAATACTATCATCATAACTGCCACCTATCCTTTTTGTAACAATATGGAATGACTTGTTTACACCTTTCCACATTAACTCTAGTAGGAGCTGTCAGTACAACTCATACTCATTACACCTCGTGACTTACAAGGCTAGACATCTACCTACGCATTTGTAAAGCAGCAAGGTTTGGGACAATGGCAGGCAAGTTGGTTCCCAGCAATGAGTGAATTCCTCATCCTGTATTTCTGGGAGTCCCCAGGCTTTTCCAAGGCCTCAGTATAGCTACTTCCTATGGGAGTGTTCAAGGAGGTCTCAAATACCACCGCCATTTCCCACTTGTATCTTCACAAAGGACGATGAGCTAAGTAGAGTCTGAGTGGCTTCCCCTCTCTCCCACCACCCAACACACCTGCATCAAAACTGCTGATGTCTGGGAGGGGGCATCTGGGGGAAGGGTTAGGCAGAGAGTTGTGCATATTCCCACTGGGATTAAAAAATGTCTTTTCTAAGAATAAACTCACTATTTCCAAACTTGAAGCCCTGAGGCCATATGAAATAATACAACAGGAAATTTCTAACAAGTTATCTCCATCTATTCTTTTATGTGTTGGAGGTTCTTCCAAAATGTGATTATGCATGGTCCATAAGGGCCCTGAATTAAAAGCCAGAGCTGGGCATGGCGATGTAATGTGGACACTTCTAGTAGTCCCATCTGGCTCCAGCACACAACCGTTTGTGTCTCTTTGGACCATCCTGTCTTTTGGAGTGTGCATTCTACCCAGGTCCCATTCCTGACACACACATACACACACGCGCGCGCCGATATTTTGTTTCGGTTTGGTTTTTTAATTGGGGCATAGTTGCTTTACAATGCTGTGTTAGTTTCTGCTGTACAACGAAGTGAATCAGCTACATGTATACATATATCCCCTCCTTCTTGGATCTCCCTCCCACCACCCCCATCCCACCCATCTAGGTCATCACAGAGCACCGAGCTGAGCTCCCTGTGCCGTACAGCAGGTTCCCACTAGCATCTGTTCTACACATGGCAGTGCACATACGTCAATCCCAATGTCCCAATTCACCCCACCCCACCCCCCGCCCGGTGTCCACACATCCGTTCTCTATGTCTGCGTGCTCTTCTTTAAATTTACCCCATCAAGTTCCATACAATTCTTTTAGTGGACATTCGTCTTGGTCTTCACTTTGTTAATTGCTCCTACAGACAAACTTTTAAAGAGTTGTTAACAGAAGGAAGATGAAGCCCCCTTTTTATGGCAGGCACTGTGCTAAGAGCTTTACATGTGTTATTTAATTCTCCTCCAAAATATAAGTACTAGGCATTACTATTCTTTTCTAGAGAAGGGGAACCTGAGGCTCCCAGAAGTTAAGTAGTACATGTAGCTGAGAACTCACCATGTGTAGGCAGTATGCTGAGCGCTTTAGATGAAATACCCAGGACACACTTAACAAATATTTGTTGAATGAATGAATGGGCTCTGCTAAACCTCACAAGAACTCTCAAGGTGAGTATTATCATCGTACCCATTTCACAGGAAAGGAAACAGACCCAGAATTTAATGAGATTGCCCAGTATCAACTGGGAGTAATGGCAATTGGAAATGGGATTTGAATCCAGCCCTTTCTGGCCCCAAAGCCAGGATTCTTTCCACTCCACCCTTTTATTAGCAGGTAACTATTCCTCCCAGCACAGTCAGAATTCACATCTGAGACAGGAGTTAAGAAATCACAAAGCATGAAACTGGTTGGGAGAATAAAAAAGAACATCATGAAACATTACCTAATTGTTTAGCAATGTTGTCATGCATTGTCCAAAATTGGCCTGGAGCAGGAGTACGGCCAAGGAGAGCAATGTAAACAGATCTTGCACTGGGATGAACAATCTCATTTCTAGCCTTTCTGATTCACATGAGAAGTGGGGATGTTCAAAGTGAACTCCAGGACTGCCATGGACCAGGCACACATACTCAGGGAGAGAAAGAGCCATTGAAGGGTCAGGGCCAAAAGAACATTTACACAAGAACTCCAGCAGGGAATTAAAATGTACCGTATGTTTTTGCCTTTCAAAGCATGATTCCCTTTCCTGTTTTTGTTATTCTGAAATTAAAAACATTTGGTTGGTGTGCCAGGCAGCAAAGGCTGCAGACACCCCTGGTCACCAACACCCCTCAGGCCATGCCAGGGAAGACAATCAAAACAGCTCTGACTTCAGAAAATCACTGCTGGGCTTTGTGCTCAATACCAAATTAATGTATCACCATTACACATGATGGCTCACTGGGATCCTCTCAAAGTTAAAAAAAAAACAAAAAAAACCCCCACAGGAACCAGAAATGATTACTTTAAAATTACGATGTGTGTGCTCATGGCTTTGCCTGCTGCCCCTGGCAAATGCTTGTACATGACGCTGCCCAGGGGGACCACTGGCTCTGTCACTGCATTATCACACGGAAGGTGCCATGAATGAATAACACCAATGCCAAAGGTATCCCTCTCCCCAAACAGTGAAAACGTAAAACCCACTCCAGTTGATTCAATGCAGGTACTGAAAGAGGAATTGGCCACGGTTTTCATAAAAGACAATGCACAAAAATTTGAGCCCACAAAAGAGATGCTAAAGAGGTAATTATCTTCTTAAAAATGAGGAGGGGCAATTCTTCTTTAACTTTCAATATAATTTGCTCCAATATTCTGTCAAATAGTTATCTCCCTAAAGACTTGAAAAAGATTTATTTTACCAAATTTCAACATTCATCTTTTCAGGAAACTAGCTACTGTTTGCCTGTCATGCCACCCAGCTAAACTTCTTAAGTATATTTCCTTCATGAAATATAATGCTTAGGGAACAGGCTGCGGGATGCTTTTCCAGCATCATCTCACTAATCTCTCCATAGCTATAATTCTTTTATCAGTGTTTCACCCTTAGAAGCAAGCAAAAAGCCATGCCAATACCAAGTATTTATCTCAAAAAGAAAAATGGGCTGGAGTCAGCTGATTTCCCACACCTTCCTTAAATACCCAACCCCAAAGTGAGAGCTGATATTTAGGACCATGACACTGAGGCCCCAACAGGGCTCTCAGCCATGAAAGGCTTGTGTTCATTATTTTATACTTACTAAGTCTGGAAAGCACACTAATACATTTCAGGAATTTCACAAATGAGGCAAGTGGGGTCCAGAGAGGTTAAGGAGCTTGCCCAAGGTCAGAGTTTGTAAATGGCAGAGTCTGAACTTAAATCTGGGTCTGTACTGACCCCAAAGACCATGTTTTTAACTACCACCCCGCCCGCCCTTGTCAGGAGAAGCCAAGGAGCAGCCTATTTTATAAAGTGAAAAATAACAGAGAGAAACTTCACAAAAATAACACATACAAACACAGCTTAAATTACCACCATTCATCAAAACAAAGAAATGCTTGACTAACTTACGATAACTTTCAGGTTTCCCTTAATATCAAAAGATTTGATCACCCAGTTGACAGACTTTTTGCACTTCAAGATCAGGATGAGATCTTTGACCACCTCAGGATCCTTTCGAGAAGGTCTTACGTCAATTATGATATCCACCTGGAAAGCACTGTGAATGGAAAACAAAGGCAGAGTTAGGACCCAAATGCCAGAAAGTTGCAACTATCTTCCCCTCTTCCAAGTCTTCATGTTTCCAGCGTCTGGCCAGTTGATTAAAAAGCTGGAGTTGATCCCAGGCAAATGACATGTGCAAAACAGATTGTTAGTGCACACAAAACAAAATGGTTTTACATAACAATAGAAAAATACGCCTGTGGATAATTAGCCACTAAACTTTTTCTCTTTGTTGAAAAAAGAAAAAAAAGGTGGTCACTTAATGCAGCCACTTCTTCTGTTTGTTTGTTTTGAACATCTTCATTGGAGTATAATTGCTTTACAGTGGTGTGTTAGTTTCTGCTGTATAACAAAGTGAATCAGCTATACAATATACACAGATCCCCGTATCTCCTCCCTCTTGTGTCTCCCTCCCACCCGCCCTATCCCACCCCTCCAGGTGGACACAAGGCACACAGCTGATCTCTCTGTGATCTCCCTGTATGATGCGGCAGCCACTGTTTGAAATGGATGTGAACAAACCCGGAGAGTTTACTTCTGAAGCAGAACTGCTGCTTTTTTAGCCTGCAGCACCTTTGATGTGTAACATTCTAATCTGCTATACGCTCAAAATCCTTCAGAGCAGTAGTGGGCAGCAGTTTGGTGAGTGGGATGACAGGGTGGATGGAAGAGGGAGGCAGTAAAGCAGTGAGGCAGCTTCAGAATAAAATAAGAGGCAAAAGACTAGAGAATTTCTTGACTTATATAAGGTGTGCTTAAGCCATTAACATTTGTCACAAAATCATATCTGCATTTACTTTCCCAAACTTCTGGATATACAGTTATTAAAATAAAAAAACAGATGGTCAACCAAGTGATTACTGGAAATTAATGAACACAATCCAAACTTCTAAGAATCCAGATTAAAAGAGAATTTTTACCAAACAATAACATCTCTGTCATTCTGGATTTAGGGGAGTCTTTATTTCCATCTTGGTTTTACACACTTGTAAACCGTAAAATGAATGATATACAGTACTCAAATGAAGCCCTAGGCTTAATATCTAAGCACATTTGCCAGATTGCTTCTATTCCCATTCCCTTTTAATTTTCCACAAATTCTTTACATGGAACAGAATTCCATTTCCAATCCTACCAAAACCGATTGGTAGTTTAATCACTTTTGAAATCAAAGTTTCATTAGAATTTTAACTGTGAAATCCTTCTATAATATAAATTTACATTTTAACTCACTAGTCCCAATGAAATGCAGGTGAAAGTGGGAGAAAGGCCTACTTTCTCCCTTTTCTTTCTTTCTTAAATTCCATAATCATTCTTGATAGAGTTAAATTTCCAGTCCTGGGGCAGGACGCTGGAGGTGAGAGAGAGAGAGGTAAGTGGTATCTAATGGCTCTTCGGTGTGTCACCATGAAGGGCCACTCCTCTGACACACACACACACACACATTCACACACAGCTTTAAACAGTTATGAGTGCAAAAGTGCTCTGAGGACAATATAAACAGAAATCTGTTAAAAAACATAATATTAAAAAAACATATAATATTGTTAAAATAGTAATTATGTTAACAATGCATATTTTGTAATTTTCTTAACAGGGATAACCTCAGTCAAAGGAGATAATAATGGAGTAAGAGTGACTGTTCTATAACTAGTACAGTCCACCCTCTGTATCTGCAGGTTCCACATCTGAAGATTCAACCAACCACGGATGGAAAATACTGGGGAAAAAAAAAAATTCCAGGAAGTTCCAGAAAGTAAAACTTGAATTTGCCACGTGCAGGCAACTATTTACATTGTATTTACAACTATTTACATATTGTATTAGGTATGATAAGTAATCTAGAGACGATTTAAAGTATACAGGAGCATGTGCGTAGGTTATATGCAAATACTATGCCATTTTATATAAAGGACTTGAGCATCTACGGATTTTGGTCTCCGAGGGAGATCTGAAACCAACCTCCCACAGACACCAATGGACGACTATACCAAGAAGTTCAAATTAAGCTTCAGAACTCATCTGGGATATATGGGATCTAGAGACAGATGCAGAAAATAAAATATGACACTGGTACCTTTACTCCCTTCTTCAAAGCTTCTGTGAATCTTACCCAAAGCATCAGTGGCTTCCTCCCCCTCACACGAGGGAAGGCTAAGCCTCTCCCTGTCTCAACTCAGAATCATATCAAGTCATATCAGATCTTTGTTTTCATCTCTTAGTTCAGAAAACACACACAACACACACACACTCACACTCACCTGTAGGGGTTAGAGTTGGGGGTGATTAACTCAATGATGTGTACTTCCTTATCTCGGGGCTGGCTGGATATCACACACCCTTCTGCGGCTTTGGGCTGAAGGTACCCGGCAAGGTAATTGAGGGAGAGAAAATTCTTCCCTATGTTGCACGTGGGAGGGAACACTTGATCTGTAAGTAAAAAAACACATTGAACTACATGGTAACCAGACTCAAAGGAGAGAAGATAACAGTGACCCTGTTATCAAGTGCAGGACACAGGAAATCACAAGCTTGTGTCCTGAAATGCTTCCTCTATGGTCACCAGTGGCCTACTACTGACCAACTTTAGTGGCCTCTTTTGGTCTAAATTCTCTCCTTTCCTGTTCTCTTTGGTTCTGCTTTGTCCTCACCCATTTCCTCTGACCTATCTTTCAGCCTCTCACTAGTTCCTCATCTGCTCATCCTTTAAACACCAGTGGTCCTCAATCGTTGGTGCATATCAGAATCCACCTGTTTGGACCCCACCCCAGAGAGTCTGATTCAGAAGATCTAGGTAGGACCTAGGAAGCTTTCTTTTTGAAAAGCTCCATAGTTAATCCTGATATAAACCAAGACTAAGAATCTCAGTTCCTTCCTCAACTCTCTTTTTATTTCGTTTTCTTCCTAGATGATCTCAATCACTCCCACGGCTTCAACTTATACCTAGATCATGACTCCTGAGCTGCAGACCTGCATTGTCATCTTCCTACCAAGCACCTTCCACCTAAAAATCCAATAGATATTTTAGTCAGCATACTCAACACTGAATCCAATGACCTATCCTATCCCCAAATGTGCTCCTCTTTGGATATTTGCTATTTCAATTAATAGAAGAACCAGCAACCTAACTAATTCTCTGGCACGCACGGTGTAGAATTAATCATTCCTTCATCTTTATCCCTCAAACCAACTTATACTCTAAAAGCTTAAGGTAACAGTTTGAGGGAAACAGTGAGGGCAGACCTCTACTCTTTCC